ATATAAATAAAATTGAATTGAATTGAATTGAATTTAGTAGATAAAGGTGAATGGCTTAAACATGAATTGAGCTGCAGTTTGGGGAAGGTCTCGGAGGGGACTGGCCGCGGCTCCTGGGCATGGCAGATCCCCAAAGAAGGCATCCCCTAAAAGCAGTAATAACTGTGCTTTACAAAGGTCAAAGACCTCTGCAGTAATATAACTGGTAGTCAGGCTAGCGAAGATAAGTAGCCCATGGCCTCAATAAGGTGGTGGAGGATTCCATAGAGTGGAGCGGATGAGCTCAAAAAATTAGGAAGAAATTGCAGGAGAAGAGATCTAAGGAATTTCAAAATTACGAAAGACCTCGATAGATGATTAAGGGGAACCCTTCATCATGTAGCAACATGACTTGACTCGGAACTGAAGCTCTAACAGTGATGTATGCTGGGATTTTGAGACTTGAAGTAATGGCTTGAGGGGTCATAAACGCTTAAGTGAGCTTGTCTTGGAGCAGAAGATGGAGAGGGGGTGCCTGGCTGGTTAATTTGCTTTGGGTAAGGTAGCAATAACTACTGTGCTGATTTCAAAAGGGACGCCTTGAGGAATTATGCACATGGTGGAGTTCAGATCGCTTAATAGGAGCGATAGAGGACAGAACCCGGCACCCCGGTGACAGTAGAGCAAAAAACTGGTATAAGAACTTGGCATCCCGGTGTCAGGAAGTTTTTTGTTTTTGTTTTGTGCAAACGACAGATGGCAGACAACTGACATCCTGAAGGCAGAAGGGTTCCCTGCTGCTTTTTGCAGTGATAGCTGCAGAGAAGCTTATTGCTGCATATGAGGGACAGAGAAATAGAACCTGGCATCCCGGTGCCAAAAGCTTGCTGCTGCATTTGCAAATACGTGAAGAGAACCAGGCATCCTGATGTCAAAAGAATTCTGCTTTGTTTGCAAAGGAGGGATAGAGAAAGAGAACCTGGCATCCTAGTGCTATAAAGCATGCTGCTGCATTTTGTGAATGATGGATATAGAAAGAACCTGGCATCCCAGTGCTAAAAGGGTTTGGTGCTGCTTTTTGCAATTATAGATGCAGAGAAACTGGCAACTCGTTGGGAGAGAAGCTTGCTGCCGCGCTTGCGAATGAGGGAAGAGAACCTGGCATCCTGGTGCCAAAAAGCATGCTGCATTTCCCAAAGGAGGGATAGAGAGAAGGGGAACTGGCAACCCGGTGCCTTTTTTTTTTTAAACATCTGTGCAGAGAAAGTGGCAGCTCTGTGGTAGGAAGTTTGCTGCTGCAGTTTGCAGATGATGGATATAGAAAGAACCTGGCATCCCAGTGCCAGAAGGGTTCACTGTAATGAACCCTTCTGGCACTGGGATGCCAGGTTCTTTCTTTATCTATCATTCTCAAATGCAGCAGCAAGCTTTTGTACCAATGAGTTGCCAGTTTCTCTGTATCTGTATGATGTCTACTGTCATTTCTTCTCTTTATTGAGCAATTCATTCAGGACAGTGTAGCCACTGTCAGGAATGAAATGTACATAATAGTTTAGCATCATTGTTCAGGTAACAATGAGTGTATGGTAGTTCAAAAAGCACTTGGTCCATAGCCTTTTGAAATAAGCCTGGTGATGATGTTATCCCAAAGGGTAAACAATTAAAGCAGAATAGCTCTTTTTGAGTAGAAACTGTCAACTGCTTCTTTGAATTCTCTTCTACATCAATCTATAGTTAGGCATTTGATAAGTCTAACTTACTGAAGCATTGGCCTCCTGCAAGGGATGCAAACAGGTCCTCAATGTGTGGAATTGGGTACTTATCCATGCAGAGCTGTGTTGAGAGTGGCCTTGAACTCTCCATACAGTCTCACTGTGCCACCAGGTCAGCAGAGGGCAGCACAGTTGGCTTTAGGGACAGAACCATGGATGATGTCCACTGTGATTCTTGGATACCATGGACAGTTCTCACACAGAGTCCCTGTAACAACTACTCCTGCACCTATGAGTTTGTGAGGTCTCAGAATTCTGAATTATCTGGATGACTGGCTGGTCTGTGCAGTCTCAGAACAATAGTCTTGCAGCCATGTAGTTGTGCTCTTAGAACATGTCCAGCCTGTGGGTTGGCTTCTGAACTACCAAAAGAGCAAGCTCCACCCATCCCAGGTCACAACTTTTCTAGGTATGACTCTGGACTCCAACTGGGCCACTCAGACATTGGCTTGACCTCTTCAGGCTACACTTTTGGGTCAGCTGGGGAATGCTCTTTGCCTCATGGGCCTCGTGACATGTTCGGCAATGCCTTCTGAGCTTGGGCCTTTGCCCACAGCAGTGTCATCAGGCAGGGACTTTGGTGCCACAGAGGCTCCACTGAGCTCTCCACTTTTGAAGGTACTCTCAAATTAGAGCAGGGTTATATGTTGGATATAAATGTGTTGGAGCTAATGGCTCTGTTCCTTGCACTCCAGCAGTTCCTGCTAAGACTGGGAGGCTATCATGTCATCACCAGTACAGACAGCACAGTAACTACAGTCACAGCAGCCTACATCAACAGGAAGGGGGCCTAGACTCTAACATCCTCTGCAAGCTGGCAACCAGGTTGTGACAAGCCAGCTCCTGGTTTGAAGGAAACTCCTGTCTTAGGTGAATGGAACACTATTCTCCACTTTCCCACAGACTGCTGTGTGGCCCCTGAGGAAAAGGCTCCTTGCCTTGTGGCTACCAGAACTGGTGGTACGAACTATGCAAGAGTCTATGCAAGAGCCCACTAGGACTGCCTACTTGTATCACTGGGGACTGTTTGGCTCCTGATGCATGGCCCACCAGATGGCCAACCATGAGGCTACAGTGGAGATCATCCTGCAGTTCTTGCAATCCTAACTGGAGGCATGCAAATCAGCAGTTACCCTGCGAGGTATTGTGGCATTGATCAAGACAAATTATATTGGTCACTCACCTCCAGCTGAGTGACCGATATGATCACTCATCCGGAGTGAATCAGAGGTGATTCATTTCCACTCAGTGGTAATGAATCATCTCCCAGTTTTAAAAGGTGCCCAGAGGGCGACAATTCACCAGTCTAGATCCCCACTTCCCCTATGGGATTTGGATTCAGACCTTTGTGCACTTCACCAACCTGCCTTCAAGCCTCAAGGATGCTGATTTGAACTGAATTTCCCTCAAAACAGCTGTTCTGATAGACATAACATTTTCCAGAAGGATTAGTGATTAGTCCATAAAGACTGTTGCAGGTTTTTACTGGAAGCAGCAGGGTTTATCCTCCGTTCCAACCCTACAGGCCAACCCAGGGCAGAAGACCGCCTGTACCAGGCTGCTCTGTGCCCTGTCTGAGTCTTGACAGAGTATATTAGGGGCACTCAGACCATTAGGAAGACTGATCAGCTTTTTACCTGTTTTAACTTTGGAGTCCTGGTAGACGCTTGTCAAAGGCCAGACTGTCTCACTGGGTTGTAGATGTCATGCAGCAGGCATATATATTTTTGGGTACTTCCTTCCCATTCATTTCCCATGCATATGGAATATGTAAAAGAAGAGATATAGCCTCTTACTCAGAGAACCAAATTTACAATGTAACCATACAATTCACAAAGAGCTATTAGCTATTAACTTGGTATATCTCAGCATGGTGTGTCATATATCCTAAAACAATGAGATAACTGGACAAGTAGAAGACAAAACAATAGTGTACAGGAGATGAAAATGGGTCAAATTGATCTCTTTATGAAAAAGAAAAACATCCAGTGAAGACTTGACACGCGACCTGAGATATGTATCTGCCCCTTCACTTGATCCATCTACTATTTGTTGAAGTCGCACCAGAAATAATCTCAGTGCAAGTCCGGCTGTCAACAAGCCATTCCTAACCCTCTCAGGCTCAAATTAAATTTTTTTTTTGCTAATGCACAACCAAGTCCTGCAGTGGTACTTCTGAGTAAAAAGAACTCATAAAATATGTATGTGGGGTAATCAGGTTGTTAGTTTTTAACTGTTGCAAATCGGCAATGCCTGCCTTGAGAGGGTTAAGGAAGGGAAGCAAGGGAAATACCTGAAGTATGCCAAATTACACAAGCGATGGACTGAAAATCTGTGGCAACAAATCTTACAGAGTGATGAGTCTACATTTGAAATTTCTAGTTCAAATCATTGTCAGAATCTACAGAGGGCAAAGGAAAATAAGTAAAAACAGTGATTATCTGCAGCCATTTGTAAACACGGTGGGGGCTCAGTCATGGTTTTGGGGGTACCGCCAGTGGTGTTAAGGATCTTGTTATAGTTTATGGTATAAACACAAAAGATACACCAAATGCTTGAATTTAGATCCGCAATGCAATTCAATACCTTCTGGAAAGCACCTGATTGGCAAGAGGTTTGTTTTTTAGCATGAAAATGATTCCAGAAATCTTGCCAATACAGTAAAAGCATACCTGGAAAGAAAAAGACAACGAAAGACCACCACCTATGGATTGGCCTCTCCAGATCCCGGACTTCAATATTACTGAAGCAGTGTGATCGAGAATGGAACACAAAGTACACAGATGTGTACATCCACCATCCAAAGCTGTGCTTTGGATCTCCTTCCACAAACCTGCAAGCCTGGACACTATTCCTGTAAACTGCTTAAAGACAAAGAAAGCTTTCGTAAGAGCATTCCACCCCCACCCCAATTTTTTTACTGTACTGTACTCATAAGAAACTCTTGTCCCAGAGCTTTTGGACAGGATTATGGTAAGGTTGTGCAGTGGCAACTGGGTGAGAAATGGAAGTTGTTGAAGAAGTGTTAAAAATGGAACATAATATAAATAATATAACATGCGTAATGCCTCTGAACTATTTTTTGTCTGTTTCTTGACAGAGTATGAAATTGAGCGGTCCTTCTTCTTGAGGATGAAGTGTGTTCTTGCCAAACGAAATGCAGGGCTGACATGTGGAGGATATAAGGTATGTAAAGCCAGTGGATGACAAATCTGCCAACAAGGACACCAAAGTTCAGTGGGTGCGTTTGTTTCTAATTTCTTCCTATCTTGGTTCCTTTGGGACATGAAAATAATTTTCCTATTGATGATTTTCCAGTCCTTTTTAAGCATAATTTTTTAACGAAAAACAAAGACCCCCTTCCTTTGTAATAGATTTACTGATTGACTAACTGACTTGGCTGTTCATGGTGTTTTGAATACAGTTCAGTGTATAGATTGTTCACAGACACACCGCACACATTGTGTGTTTGTGTCTTTAATGCTTGGATGAAAACCCATGTCTGCATGTACATCAATAAATGCTCTGTCTAGTCCCTTGAGATACTCTGTCAGGTTTTTACTCCAGCTGCCTTCATTGGCTTTTTGTTTGTGGGTCTCTCTGCCTTCAGTTTCATCTGAACTTATTGAAAGCAATGCTCCTTTTGCTTGAAATCAGATGACTTACTTTCCATTAACATATATTCAATTTTCTTGCCTTGCAAATGTCTTGGTTTGCTTTTGTAGTATGCTATAGCACACACGCTCCAGGGAACTTTAAAGGACACTTTTTGTCCTGTTTTGTCTCTATGAGCAAGCACCTGGTAACAGTAGGAATGAAAACCTCGATTTTAACAGGAAGAGGCCTCCAGTAGAACCAGGCTTAGGGAGGCAGCCATCTACCAGTTGGAGGCGAGGGGAGGGAGACTGGACAAAAGACATGCTGCAGAAAAGAGCCAGATTAATGATAATGAATTATTAAATGCAGTGTGATGTATAAACACATAGTGAGTGAAAAAGGTGAGTGAATAAGAAACATGCATAACTAAGGGAGGATTCAG